TGGCCCACTCTGGCAATTCACTGTCCACTGTTGTCCAGGCAGGAGGGCGCAGCATCAGTACTAAAACTCAAGTGGCCTGGCTTGCCTACCTGCTCCATTCCCTGCACTGCAGCTGCCTGTGGTGTTGTTGGGAGGGTTAAATGAGGGGGTGTGTGGTAGGTGTGGCACTTGGTAGGCCCCTCATACATGATAATTATTAATGTAGCAAGGGTTTTATTTGAGGCGTGGATTTGTGGTGCCTCTTGTAGTTTTGTTGTGGACAAAATGGAGTAAAGTAGGCTGAATGATGGCTTCTTCAGTAGTTGAACAACTGTCCCCAAGAAGTGTTGGTTAACAAGCCAGTGTCAACCAGGAAGTCCCTAGTGCTGGGTCACAGGAGGTTTGTCCATTTCCCCAAAGAACCCTACAATGTGTCTGTCTTCTTTGACATTTTATCCTCAGATATGTGGAGACATAAGAGGCATGCTTAACAAATTGATAGATGAAGCAAAGCCAGATGGGAGAGCTAATTTGTTGGATGACAGAGTGAAGATTCAAAAAAGGTCTGGGCAGGCCAGAACAATGGACTGAAACTAACAAGATAAAATGTAGGAGGGATAAATCAAAGTCTTGCCTTTAGTTCAAAAACTAACCAAATGAGGACGAATAAGGACAGGATGAGGGGGGCTTAATGCACTAGCTGCTCATGGATGAAAGTCCTAGGGCTCTCGTTGTCTATTAGCCTGTTATGAGTCAAGATACTGACACAGACTCTTTAAAGATGAAGGACACATAGGCTGCATTAATACAAGCATCATGCCCAGACCATAGTCATCCACTCAATAAATATACACTGATTGCTTCCTGTATGCTGGGCACTGCACTGAGTGCTAGGGATGGAACAATGAATGAGACAGACCAACACTGCCCTCATGCCTCATGCAGCTGACAGTTAGGGACAGAATTATCCTGGGACCTACACCCAGATAGATGGTAAAGGGCTTGAAAACCATGTGACATGAGGAGTAGTCCAAGGAACTAGTAATAATGAGATTTACGGAAGCTTCGGAAATATAAAGGATCATCTCTTCTAACAACTCCTATATACTTCAGAGGGACAAAGAGGACTGATGACTGAGAAAAGAGGGCTGAGCCTTGGCCTAGGCACTGCCGATATTTGGGCTAGGAACTGTATTCTTGCTCTTACAGTGACTCCTCACACGGCTCTAGAAGGTAAATATGATTTTCTCATTTTGCAGATGAGAAGACAAAGTCTCAGAGAAGCTCTGTCATGTGGACATGCTCATAGAGCTGGCAAGTGGCTGAGAAAGGCTCCAAATCCTGTCTGTCTAAATTAAAAGCCCCAGGTTCTTTCCCATTCACCACCCCAATGCAGATTTCACCTTAGCTTGAGGAGGACGTTTCTAACAACTGCAGCTAAACATAAATGGACCACCTTGTGCTTCCTGCACTAGAAGTGTTTTGGCAGAGGCTGAATAACAGTCTCCTGGGATTCCCCACAAGGGGTTTCTCCATCAGTGCCTGGGAGGTGGGTGGGGTGGGGGAGGGCAGGCTTGGGTGGCATAGCCTCTGTGCCTTCATCTCTGGCCTCACTGGCTACATTCCAACCACACTGAGCCCTGGGAGCTCCTTAAATAGGCCATCTTCTTTCCCGTGGTAAGGCCTTTTCACACACCAACCCCACCATCCACTTCCCATAGCTAACTTCTGCTCATCTTTCTGGCTTTAACAAAAACTTTACTTTCTGGAGGAAACTTTTCCTGATGCTTGATACTGGGTTAGACGCCCCTCTTAGAGTCCGTCCTGGCATCCTGCCTATGCTGTCCGTGGAGCATGCAGCACGCTCTTCCTGCTACCTGACTCAATGTCTGTCTGAATTTCCCTGAGGGTCTGCCTCTATTCTGTCCTGTCCTCAGTTTCTAGCACACAGTAGGCACTCAAGAAAGGCTCAAAGAATTCCTGACATCCTCTAAGATCCGGCGATTATTTTGCTGCCCTGGGAATGGCCAACGTCCGTTGGGTTTTCACCTTGCCTCCTGCCTTCTCAGCGCTTGGCCATGCCTGGGACAAGACTGGGTGGGTTACAGTGGGATGTGCAGTGGGGATGGGCCAGACAGCAGCGGCCACTGGCCCCAACCCTGCAGGCTTCTCTACTGTGCTGGAATCCAGGTGAGTGATGGCCGTGGAGCCAGGTCTGGCAGAGGAGGGGTAGTGAGCTTCCCCAGTGACCTCAGCGATTACCCAGGCCTCTGTGGACTCTGGACCGCATGGCATTTCTTCCCTCTCCCAGTATCCCCAGGGCCCTGGCCTCTTTGAATGTGGGGGCTGCAACTCATTATTCCTTCCTCCGTGCATCCGCAACTTGACTTCCTGACCAGGAGGCAGCAGGGAGAGAAGGGGTTAATGATGAGTGGGGAGGTGGAGGAAGGGAGGATGATGTCAGCCAGGCCGCAAGGCAGAGACTAAAGCCCCTAATTGCTCTTTTCCTTCTTGTCAGAAGTGCAGTGGCTGACTCCATCGTTACTGTAATAAAGGCCTGTGGACAGGGAAGGCGGCCCACTAATGAGAGGGCCATTGTTCAGTGAAGAGGGAAGCAGGAGACAGGCCCATGGGGCCAGAGCCCTGCTCCCCAAAGGGAAGATGGAGAAAGTCCCTGGGTCACCTGGCCTGGGCCATGGGTGGGATCATGCAGGTTGTGGTCAAGTTGCATTTTAAATGCCTTCAGCATAGAGCAGCTGGTCCTCTCTGTGACATAACAGACTTCCAGGACCTCACTGGGAGAATGATCCGAGGCAAAGAGACTGGGCCCTGATGGCTGTGTTATTTGGTTAGCAAGTGGGATGACTTCCTTCAGGGGGCAGGTTTTGAGAAGCTGTTATGTTTGCAGGGAATCACCCTGAATATGGGGTCACTCCATCTTCTGTAATAAACGTGTCCTGATTACTCTCAATTGAGCAATTCTTCCAGAACCTACCTTAGAATCAGAGACTCCCAGGAGCAGGAGGGAGGGCTGTCCATCCACCCATAACTAGTTTTTGTTTGTTTGTTTGTTTGTTTGTTTGTTTTTAGCAATGCAGAGAGATTACTCCATGTCCTTGCCAGGCTATGGTACGGAGGCTCTGCCACTTCCTCAGTGCCCTGCAGGCCGAGGATTTGGTGGACACTGTCACACAGCTATGCATGGGCATCCCCTCAGCCAGTTCATTTCCATGTTCCTGAGAGGATCCTGTACAGAGCTGTTGAGTTTGAGTCCCCACCCTTGACTATCCACACCTGAATTGTCATCTTCTCTCTCCTCCCCTTGGAAAACTTGCTTCCTGCCTTCTGCAGGAAAGCTACCCAGATCAACAACATGTGGTCTGTCTGTGCAATGGAATATTACTCAACCTTTAAAAGGAAGGAAATCCTAGCTGGGTATGATGGCGTGCATCTGTAGTTCCCGCTACTTGGGAGGCTGAGGTGGGAGGATCCCTTGAGCCCAGGAGGTCAAGGTGGCAGTGAGTCATGATTGTGCCATTGCATGATCACACTCCAGCCTGGGCAGGAGAGTGAGACCCTATCTCACAAAAAAAAAAAAAAAAAAAAAAGGGAAGGAAATTTTGATACATGCTACAACATGAATGAAACTTGGGGACATTCTGCAAAGTAAAATAAGCCAGTCTCAAAAAAGCAAATACTGAAAGATGCGACTCATATGAGGTCCCTCGAGTAGTCAGATCAACAGAGATGGAAAGTAGAATGGAGGTTGCCAGGGGCTGGGGGCGGAGAGTGGAGAGTTAGTGGAGTAATGGGCACAGAGTTTCAGTCTGGGAGGACGAACAGAGTTCTGGCAATGGCTGCCCAACATTGTGAATGTATTTAATGCCACTGAACTGTATACTTAAAAGTGGTTAAGATCATAAATTTTATGGTGTGCTTATCTTGGCACAATAAAAAAAGGCTTCCTGACTTCTCTCTCCCTTCTCTGAACATCTATAGAACCTTCCTCTTGAACCTCCCAAAGGAGAAGCCTTGCCCCTTCTAGATTGTGGTCGTTCCAGAGACTGTGTCTTGAATTCACTACAGGGCTGAGTACTTAGTATTCAGGACATACTTGCTGCATTGGGTTAAATGGAATTCACATCTGCATCCTCACCAGAAATCCAGACTTTTCACTTTGGGTGCTTGGGGTGGCCCAAGTTTATACCAAACAAGTTGAACTGCTTAAGTACTTATTAAGGCTCCTGGAACCCCAGTACCTAGAGCTACCATAGAATAGGAAAACATCATGTCATTTCAGGAGCAGAGGCCACATGAGGACAGGAAAGAGGGCCAAGGTATGGTCCCCAGCTGTATCTTCCAAGGCTAGGTCTGTGAGGAAGTGGTTCTGTGGTTAGGCAGCTTTGGGAAGTGGCACAAGCCAGGCTGATACAGCAGGAATTCTCTGATCCTTTAAATATGAGTGTGCCAAGAGGCCCACGTGGTGTGTGCTGCTTTGCACATGCGTATCACCTCAGAGTCCCTTTAGGGAAAACCATCTCCCAGGAGCTGGGCTTCGTGGATCAGCCTCAGGGAACTTCCTGCGTGTGGGCTCCCTATAGAAGACTGAAGGGTCCACACATCCTCACATTGGATCAGGCCCTGGAGGACTGAACATCTTGGGCTTGCCCAGGTCCTCCCCTTACCCTTCTTGGTGCCATCTGGTCATCCTGTCCCGGCTCACACCCTCACACCCTCACACACCCTTACAACAGGAGCTGTAGGCTCTGCCCATGTTGAGGGCAGCCTCTTTCTGCTCCCAGCCCTATCCCTTCCCATCTGAAGGCTCATTTATCTTGTCTTCTGTGCTTCTTCTGTTTCCTTTTGAACCCCACTCTGGCCCAAGGGCTATAATTTATTAACAATCCCACATCTCCACCCCGCTGCTCTGAGTCACTGATCCCATCCATATTCAGTCGTGCATTATTTAAATCTAGAAAATGTTCTGGGCTTGAAATGAACAGGGAGAGACTCATTAATATGGGTCCTGTAGATGTATTTTTTCCAACTCTTTGGAACTTCAGAGGGCTCTGCGACCATTATCCCAAATAGCTCTTTCTTCCTTTGAAGAGCAGAGGCCCACAGGCAGCCCATTGGGTTGATGGGGGGAGGGCTGTGGCTGTGGCATCGCAGTTGGTACCAACCCTGCCACACAGGGAGGGCTGCGGGGAAGAGGGGATCGGCACGTGGGTTCTGGCTGCCCATGCTGTCCCAGGGAGTCTCTTCCTCTCTCTGGGCCTGGTGTCCTCTTCTGTAAAGTGAGGCATCAGTCACATGGCCTCCCAGGTCCCTCCGAGTTGCTCATGTGCGCTGTGAAATGCATCCCTGCCTCTCCGTCGCACTGAAGAGGAAAAGAGTTAAAGTCAAGCAAATCACACTTGTCGACTCATATATCTTTCAAACACCTCTTACAAGTCAAAAGAGCAGACCGATCACAAAGTGAGTTCATCCTTTTAAATCATTTCGCTGCAATGGGAAACCTGAGAATGCCCAATGCAGAAACTGTTTAAATCCATTGTGTTTATATAGCAGCTTTATTTGCGAAGTGCTTGAAATACATTTTCATATTTGGTCTTTGCAGTCTATTTACAGAAGGTGAGTTGAGGAGAGTGACTATTGCAGTTTACAGATCAAGCACTGAAGCCCAGAGAGACGAAATGCCTTCCTCTAAGCCACCAAGCTGCACAGTGGCAGGCGGCTGTGACATGGACTCAACGTTTCCTGGAAATTTCTCCACCAGGTTACCCCCCAAGTTCTTGGGCTTCGCCTAATAAGTAGAACCATCTCTTTCTCTCCCAAGCCTTGTCCTCTTCCTGGTCAGTCCCACCTAGGCTCATCTAGGCCAAAATCTGGTCACCGGCCTCACTTTTGGGACTTTGTCATACTCCACATCCAATCAAGCACCAACTCGTTCTCCTAAGAATTCCCTAAAACCTTTCCCTTTTCTACACTCTAAAGTCAACTGCCCTCGGTCAGACCTCCATTGTGCCTCATCTCATGTGGACTGGGCTTTTTTTTTTTTTTTTTTTTTTTTAATCACAGCTTCCTAACTGGCCTCCTTGTTGCCAGGCTCCCTCAAACCCCTTCTCCAAAAAGGCAAATCTGGCCACATCCACCCTCTTCCCCGCCCCTCCTACACTAGTTTGAAGCCCTTCATTGGCACTCATGATTTATTGAATAGCCTGTGTTTTCTAGCATGGTGTCTGGGAACGGCTGATCTCATCTGGTGCATCTATCTGCACCACACCTTATGTTTTCCTAATATTGGGCCAACAGTAATTCTCTGAATAAGCCATACAATTTTCTGCCTCCATGCTTTGGCTTGTGCTGTTTTCTCTGCCTCGAACAACCAGTGCAGTCCTGTTTGCCTCTTCTTGGCTAATTCCTTGTCCTAATCTTTCGAGACTCAGCTCACGTGATGCCATGTGGCTGGATTAGGTGCCACTCTCTGGCTCGTCTAATACCCTGTACCCATTTCCAACATGGAATCTTCTGTGTTATAGGTAGAAATGATCTGTTTACCTATTTATCTCCACGGTAAGACTTCTGTTTTTTTCAGAGCAGGAACAAAATCTTATTCATTTTTATAGCTTCAGTGCTACAGCTACAAAGCAGAACAAAGTATGTGTGTGGTAGGGTTTGAAGGAAAATACTATCTTTGATTTTATTCTCAGAGTTGTGGACGGGGAGAAAATGCCTAAGGATGTAGGGTGTCCTAGTAAAGATGTTGTTTCTTCTTCTTTGTGCTGATCCTGGGGGTCTCTACCTAAGATGCTTCACTGAGGTATAGATGCTTGGTCAAGGTCAACTATATCTGTTCAACACTGTCTCTAGTTCTGAGTCCAAGACTGTAACTGCAGCCCTGAAAAGAGCTGTTTACTTGGCTTAGAGGAAACTTCTATTCCAAAGCCACAGATGTTCCCGTGATCCTTGGCAGTCATCTTGGAAATTACTGTCACTGGCTCACAAGGAAGAGCTGGTGACAGGTCATGTAGAGACCAAGGCAAACCCCTTCTTTCTCCTTGTACAGGGGAGGACAGAAAACTCCAAGGAAGTCTTCAGCATCACTGTTTGCTTCCCAGCAGTGGTGGTGGAGGAAGGGGAGGTCAGAGGGCAAGTACCATTTCAGGGAAACGTGTCTGTTTGTGTGTGTGTGTTTGTGTGTGTGTGAGAGAGAGATCCTTGTTTTCTCTGCTGCCTAGGGAGACTGAGTAAGTGTTGGGACAGAGACGGGCAACAGCCAAGGTTGACCAGAAGTCAACCCCTGACCAATTGGCTTTCCCTCCCACAAGGACACTTCATCCCTGTCTATCCAAGGGCCTAACAAAGCAATCACTGTCTCCCACTGTTTCAATCTTTTACTCAATCACTTAATGATTTCTCAGGTCTGGGTGGCATGGCCACAGCCCTGTATTAACACAGAGCATAATTACCCACCCTATTCCTTGTGACTGTGCCTCCTATTTACTGCCCTTAAAAAGACCAAATTCCACCCCTCTTCTTGCTGTGGGCATAAAAAGGACCTCGGCCTCTTATCACTGTCTGGGGCCTTGGAGCAGCCAGCCATAAACTGCAATATCTGCTCGTTTATTCCTGTTCATTCAATTGGCTCCAAATTGCTCTGAACGAATTCTTGGGCTATAGAAGAAGCTGTGCAGGCCTATTTTCATTAGCGTGGACACTGAGCAGGGAGAGAGGGAGAGAAAAGAGGAAAGGAGAGGGCACTGCAGCTGGGATTTTCTCTACTCCCCACCCCTACCTTGCCCCTCAGCTCCTCTGGGCACACATTGCCCCTCTGTGCAGGAATCAGGCCACTCCAGCATGCCTGTGCCTGAGCCTTCTGCTGAGAACCCGGATCTTATTGACACAGACTCACCCCCATTAAGTGTATAACTTAATGACTCCATGATAGGAGGGAGAGCTAAACCTGCCCTCCCCTCTGGCCAAGCTGTACTTGTTGGAGAAGATGGCACTATCTGACCATCTTTTTATCTTTCCCAGGGAGCTGGAGAAACTTGGTCAGGGGGAGACAGGGTCCCAGTGTGGCCAGTTGAGCAGGGATGCAGGATCAGCTCCACAATGATCTTAATGCATTGATATAGTTTGGATCTGTGTCCCAACCAAATCTCATGTTCAACTGTAATCTTCAGTGTTAGAGGAAGGGCCTGATGGGAGGTGACTGGATCATGGGAGTGGTTTCTCATGAATAGTTTAGTGCCATCCTCTTGGTACTGTTCTTGGGATAGTGAGTGATCTTGGAAGATATGATTGTTTAAAAGTGTGTAGCACTTCCTCCATCTCTTTCTTGCTCCTGCTGCTTCCATGGGAGATGCCTCTTACCGCTTCACCTTCTGCCATGATTGTAAGCTTCCTGAGGCCTCCCCAGAAGCAGATGCCTGTGTAATGATTCCTGTACAGCCTGCGGAACCATGAGTCAATTAAACCTTTTTTCTTTATAAATTAGCCAGTCTCAGGTAGTTCTTTACAGCAAGGCAAAAATGGCCTGATACACACATTGATGATTTTCCCCTCTTGTCATCAACACTATCCCCATAGGACCACCTCATCCCAGCACCCTGGGACTGAAAGGATTCTGAGGTCAAGACATTTGGTTTCCCTGCCCTGTGTTCTTTCTTGATTTCCTGCCTACTGCGTTTACAGTTTGGAAGTTCTCAGGGAGTCTGACCTGAATCTTCCTTATATAACGAAAGCCTGTTTCTTTTTTGTTTGTCTTCCCTTGGGGCATCCGTGCCTATAACTCTTTTGAAACTGGAAGTCAGTTATGAAAGTCTTGTCTCATTTTCCTCAGCCTCATGTTCTCCAGGCCAAACCTTCCCAATTCCAAGAGTCCCAGCAGCACATAACTTAAGAGTCAGAAGGATGCCTGTTAACCAACCCTCCCGCTTGACTTTATTACCCCTTCTACACATAAGTGACTTCCTTCAGATCCTGCCCAATTTATCTGCAAGATTTTTTTAAATGTGGGTGGTCCACTTCTATTTCTAACAGCCCATGTGGTTCTGGGGGGCTGAAATGAATACTTTAAAGAGGGATTCTTGGTCTTTCCAGCTTTTTTCCTAGAGTACTGGGATGGAAAAACATTAACCTGACTTCATTTTTCTCTTTCCCTAAGGACAGGGCAAAGGGGACAAGGTTTAGTGGTACTGTGGGTTTTCAGCATCCAGTTCCCACATTTCAGCTTCAGGAAGGAGGCCTGCCCAGAGGAGGTGGGGTGTGACAGAAAGAATAATTGGTTTGTGTCCAGGATGCATGAATTCTAGGTACAATTCTCCCGACTGTAGCTGGGTAACCTTAAACAAGTTGATTTACTTCTGTGGGTCTCAGCTTCTCTGTCTATAAAGTGAGGAAATTGGAGCGAAGGAATTCTAAAGTCCTCTCTAGTTCTGACATTTCTGAGTGAAGAGCCCTGTAGAGGAATGACCAGAGGGTGAGGGACACTGGCGATCCAGGACAGTGCTGCTGAAGACACCTGGGCCAAATGAGGCTCCAATGAAATAAGCAAGAGAATGTGATGGACGGGAAACAGGGTGGTGGTATTGACTCAGAGGGCTGGTGCAAGGTGTGTGGCATGGGTGGTCAGGCCCACGTGTGCTGGGGAGTGTCAATCTCCTTTTTGTTCTTCTAGAAACTGCTGTACCCATCCATTGTGCTCCTCATGGCATTGACCTCCATCTTTCTCCTGTACCCATAGCTCATGTTTGAAGTAGGTTGCTTCAGATTTTTCAGATCATCCGAGAACTGCTGTGTTTTCCAGAGTTTCTCTCCATCTGGTCAGTCGGCTGGCAAAGAAACCCATCTAAAGGCTAGGATCATCTCACAGATAGATTAAAAAAACCTGCCAGCTTCAAGCCAGCCTTCTCTAACAAAAGAATCCAATAACCAATATTTCCCACTGTTTTTCTCTGCTAATGCTATGGAAATGGTGCATTAGATACAGGAGCTGGAGTGGTTTGAAGAAGGATAAAGAATCTATTTTTCTGTGTCTGTAAACATTTTCTCCTTGAAATCTTTGACATAGTTGGGTGTTTGAATGCCTTGGGCCCTTGCAAGTGGAGTGTCCACTGTAGCAGGCTCATTTCCCTGTCTCCCTCTTCCCGGGCTCAGCCAATTGCCCCAGCTAACAGAGAAAATGTAGCTTTCTTGTAGTGATGGACGCTGGAGCAGGCGTGGAGCCCTGCAGCTTGCCAGATAGTGCTGGGCAGTGCTACCATCTGAAACAAGTTCCAGAGGCAAAGACAGGGGAGAGACCAGGTTGACTCATGGTCATTTCCCAGAGCCATAAGATTTCCAGGCAGCTGAGCCAGCCTTGGCTGGACAGTCAGGAGCAAGGCCTGGCCAGAGGGCTGAGGGTGGCATTTCTGGTCCCCAGTCTCCATGGCATGCTCTGGGCATTGTGGCTCAGGACTGTTAGGGCAAGCTGCTTTGTCAGTGTCCCCAGAGCATTTGCCTTCTCTCTCCTTTTCCCCGAGAACATTCTGCCAACTACCAACATTGCAAAAGACTGAGCACAGATGAATCCTTCTGTAGTTTCCTGGTGTCTGGATCAATGGAGCTCACATGATATGTGACCTTGAACAAATGTTCTTGTTTTTTGTAAAGTTTTTCTAAAATGAGGCCATCTCATCCCTGGCTGCTGCCTGCATCCCCCCTCTGCACAGTACAGAAAGGGTCGTGGGCCTGGAGTGAGGCATCTGGGTTTCAGTTTCAGTTTCCGTTTTAACAATGCCACATAACAGCAAACTTGTGACGTCAAGCAACACATTTAACCTCTATAAGCTTCCATTTCTTCATCTGTGAGATGGGTTTAATATTTGCCATGACTATAGGGTTTTCAAATCAAATGAGTTAACAGTGCTTTGCAAGAGGTGAAGATCTGTACAAGGGTAAAGTAGTGCTAATGATATAGACATGTGTAGCAAGTTTCATGTGAAATCCTTTGACGTCATCATCAGAAACGATGTGTATAGGGGAGTGGCCATTGGAAGTGCTGTGTTGAACAAGGAGATGAGCCTGTCAGACCATAGTGCTCAGAGCTCCACGACATCATCATTCACTTAAACATCTGAGAAATGATGAATCATTGGGGCTGTCCAAGCCCTTACTTGATATTCCTCAAGCCATGCTTATGAGGACATTTTGGGGAAGACAGAAGAGAAGAGAATAGGGAAGGACCATGAAGTGAGGAGGGCAGGAGCCCAAGCTTCTAGGTCCTGGAGATTGGCACCAATCTAGTCCTTATCCTGGTGATCTTCCAAATCCATCAGCAGCTTCTCCAGGTAGGCCTTAAGCTACAGTGGTAGATTCACTTCTTAAAAAGGCTTATTCACTTCTTAAAAAGGGGACTAACTGGGTCATGGGAACCATCAAGATTTTGACTAGGGTTGACCAACTTTGAGCTAATTCATTGGAGAAAGCCTCATGGGTTGTGGATATTTCATGTGAAAAAAGAACCAAGTTAAGGGCCTGTGCATGAACAGAGTTGCTTTTTAAGACATTATAGTGTTGCTAGTGCCATGATAGTGCCTGCCTTTGCCTTTGCATTCAAGTGTGTCTAGGCCTGATCTGTATCACGTGGATAGGTATCTAGATTATCCTTTAAAATATTCTGGGATAGGAGATTCCAAAATTGCCCTTGGCAAGCTATATAAGTATTAGCAAATTTAGCAATACAAAGGTCTGGATCCACATCTCATTTCCTACTGTAGAAGAGGATATTCTTGAGTTTCCAGGAAGCGAGAAATAAAGTTTATTGACCTCTCTTTGAAGATATACTATTATTTTTATTGAAATTTGTTCTCAAGTCTATTAATGCCAAGAGTTGTGAAGGGTCTGAGATTTTACTTTACTTAAAATGTAATAGCCTGTTATTGTTCAAGTTGGTGAAAGACATGAGATTCCTGGATCAGAGATGAAAAGTTTTATTACTCACAGCAAAAGCAGTAGCCAGGTTATCAGCTTATTTGTGTTGGTTCCCCGAACCCAGTTCCCACAAGGTGGGAATGAAGATGGCCAGATAAAACCTGTACAAAGAGCAAGTTTTATTGTAAGAGAGAAACCCTGAGCTTACAGAATCCAAATCTTTTCTAATGGGCAGTAAACATTCCTGTTCTTCACTCTGGAATGAGACCCCATCTCTATCTTCCAGGGATGTTTGCTATAGAAATACTCTTGAAAAGGTAATCTAGAACATAAGATAACACCTTGCTTTCAAGACATGCAAAAAGCTGAGTCCTATGGAGAAGTGTCTCCCAATATTGATCAGTTTTACTATGTTTAGGTGAGCAAATTCCAATTTCTTTAACCTTATTCCCTGGGCTATATTTCCCCACCCCTTCATTTGTTGGGCATTTATCCCCAGTGGTGTTCCATAGCTATTTTTGGGTCCTGTGGTTTCTTGCCTCTTAGGCAGCACCATCCAGATAGACCCTCTACTCTTCTGTAGGAGACTTCCACAGAAGAAGTTTACCTCCTTGTTCAAGGGTCCCCAAGGAAACTGCACCTGGAAGGTGCATTGCCATCATCTCTTCTGTTCTAGAAAGATGAAGACAAATTGCAGGCAATTCAGAGAAAAGTAACTTAGGTGATTAGGGGTGATATCAGGGGAAAGATGAAAAGAACTGCACATGCAAGCGTCTGCTCATGTTGTGTTGAAGAAATTGGAGAAAGAGGATGTAGGGATGCTTCCAGTGCCTGAGCAGATCAGGCTCAGAGTACCTTTCAGGACACAGATATCTGACTCTGTTCCTCCCTAGCTTGGCCTCTTTGTGGATCTGTTTCCTTTTTCATAAAACAGGGATGAAAAGGATGCATTGTTGCTGGAGATTAAAGGACATACTATGTATTTATAATCACCTAGAATAGTGCCAGGCACATAGGAAGAGCTCAAGTAATGTCTCATGTTTTTGGAACACAGAAAATTAGAGCTAGAAAGAATCTTAGCCTCATATTCAGCTTCTCAGTCTGCAGAGGAGGAAACTGAAGCTCAGAGGCAGAGGTGACGGATCCATGGACACAACACTAGCTACAGGAAGAATATGACTAGCCCCAAATTCATCCTTTCTTTAAGACAAAATAATATATTATGGCTCCCTGTCATTTTAAAAGTGTTTTAATGGTTAATGTCCAGACAGTGAGCAAAAGTGGCACATAGTTATTAGGCTTCAAGTTCTCCTTCTGAGTTTCTTTAGAGAGGGTAAGCGCGTGGTGGTAGCTTTTCTGAGATGAAATGTAGCCTTCTCATTACAAAGGCCTACTGCTGAAGCTCACCTTCTTACTCTGGGTGTTAACACTATGGCTAAATGCATATGGGCTTTTACAACAACTTCGGGTATTGACACCGTGACTGGATACATGTGGGCCTTTTATTCTGGAGGCTGAGTAGAGGCAGCCACCAGCTCCTTAATTTCCAAGTTATCTTGTAGGTGTCTGTGGGTGTGGGTGAGAAAATGTACTCTAACTTCCCAAAAATAAATTAAGCTTCCTCTTGCAACATACATGAAGGATGCCAATACTTTTAACTTCTAAGTGATCTTACAAGACATTTTTTTCAATCAAGATATATTGATTAAACAATGATTATTATTCCATCTTATGTTAATCAAAATTTAACTGCCAATCAGAGCTTCTGATCAGTAAAATACCATTGCCATCCTACTGGGTTGACATAATTCTAGGCCATATATTGAGACATAATTTTTTTTTAGTGTGCCTGGGCAAACCTGTCTCCAATACAAATTTCTGTTTCATTTTTGGAAATATTGAAAGATGTCCAAATAGTCCCATTATTACTTTCAAGAAGCACTAGGGACTGCCACCATGAACCATAGGGTCAAGAAGCTAGGAGGGATCTCAAATAATCTAGTCAAATGTCTGGCATTTACAGAAGGAACAGAGGCCCAGGGACTGGGTAATGACCCAAAGACACTGGCAGAGGCCTCTTGGAGTGGCTTTGTATTGGTTCATTCTCATGCTGCTAGTAAAGATATACCCAAGACTGGGTAATTTATAAAGGAAAGAGGTTTAATTGACTCACAGTTCACATGGCTTGGGAGGCCTCACAATCATGGCAGAAGAGCAAGGGACATCTTACATGGCGGCAGGCAAGAGAGAGCTCATGCAGGAGAACCCCCCTTTATAAAACCATCAGATCTTGTGAGACTTATTCACTATCATGAGAACAGCACAGGAAAGACCCACCCCCATGATTCAATTACCTCTCACTGGGCCCCTCCCATGACATGTGGGAGCTACAATTCAAGATGAGATTTGGGTGGGTACACAACCAAACCATATCAGGCCTTCCCAGCTCTACTGATGTCCCTCATTCCTGAGAATGACTGCAGTATAGGGGGAGGCCTCAGGGCCACATCTGGGCTGTCATTCCTCCTGACCTAGACCCCAGAGATAGCAGGTTTTCTCTCCTGGCCTCGAGCTGAGCTTATCAGTCTCTTTCTCAAGAGTTTGACATTTGACACAGGGACTCAGGCTGAAGGTTTCTTGAGGGTAGGTCTGTGAAGGGTGGCACAATTGGAAGGAAGTCCATGCTCTCCTAATGCTGAGTGCTGGAGCCAGTCTCATGTCCTCCCTTCACGTATCTTGGTTGTCCAACTCTTTCTTCAATTTCGTACACCAGGGGCCTTCCAATAAATTTTTCATAAAAAATAAAAGATCATTTAGAGCTGGTTTCTGTTACTGGTTACCAAGAGAACTTTAACTAAAAGGATAAAGAATTAGTAAATAGCAATATTATACTTAGAATCCAGGTCTCATGATTTTCAGTCTAATGCTCTTTCTGGCACAGCATGCTGCCACTCAGAAAAATCCATAAAGTCTTGATATAACTCATGCTTTGAGCGATATAATAATTATTAGACAATGAAAATTCTAGTGGGAAAAATGCAACCTTTTTTGGAATCTTTATTGAAAGCTCTTTTTCAAAGTATGAGATGGAAAAAACAAAAGTCACATATATACCTACATACTTGATTGCATTAAACTAAAATAATGAATTCAGTTTACTTTAAAATGAGATATTATTACAGAATCTCTAGGGTAGATTTACCAAACCATTAATATACAAAATAGAAAGACATTCTCTGAATTTTGAAATATCTTTCACTGGTATGTTTAATACTGCCACCTGGTTTTCTGTGAGTTCCTAGAGGGATGCAAATGAGTATGCTCCTATAGACAAATGAATATGCTTCTCTTCAAGGTTGTGAAGGAAAAAATAGGGATCTATTTTACTCCTGTCCCTGTTTATGAATAGAGAAACCAAGGCATTGAAGCTGATTTAATTGCTTGAGGTCTACTGAGAGGAGGCAGTGGAGGGGTCAAAGGAGGAACTAGAATTAAAACCCACATGCTTACTGCTTTCTAAGGTTGGGTTTAACTTCTGAAGTGAATTTTGAATGAAAGGAGAATGATGGCTTAGTTTGTGTATTACATATCTTTATACCTCCCCATGCCTACCATGTAAACAGGCACCTAATCAATATTGACGGAAAGATGAATAGAGGGAGGGAGAGGAAACAAAAAGGAGGATGAAAGAAAAGTAGGAAATAGGGAGGAAAGAAACACAAAGCTACTGATATGGTTTGGATTTGTGTCCCTGCCCAAATCTCATGTTGAATTGTGATCCCCAGTGTTGGAGGAGGAGCCTGGTGGGAGGTGATTATATCATGGGGGCAGATTTCCCCCTTGCTGGTCTTGTGATACTGAGTGAGTTCTCACGAGATCTGGTTGTTTAGAAGTGTGTAGCACCTCTTCCTGCTCTCTCTTCCTCCTTCTTTGGCCTGCTTCCCCTTTGCCTTCTGACTTGATTGAAAGTTTCCTGAAGGTTCCCCACCCATGCTTCCTGGACAGCCTGTAGAACCCTGAGCCAATTAAACCTCTTTTCTTCATAAATTACCTAGTCTCAGGTAGTTCTTTATAGCAATGTGAGAACAGACTAATACAGCTACTGAGCTGGAGAGTGTTAAAGGGGAGTTTATTTAAAAACTGCCCCAGGAAGTCCTGAGGACACATGTCCCGGTTAAGCTATGAGGCAGACAAGTTGGGAAACCTGTAGCCATACTGGCTGGAATGGGGATTCATATGTGTAGAAAGGGAAAAGATGCAGAATAGAGGAAAGAGAATCAAAAGAAAGCAAAAGATGAAGAGGTTGAGGTTGAGTTTTGGGGAGCAGCTGTGCGGTGCATGGTGAGCTCCCTGTCCTTCTCCACTGCTGGGCTCTCTCAGCTCCCTCTGGTTATTGGTCCCCTCCTCGCTCAAGGTGCCTACTCCTCTCCTGTTTTTGATCAAAGCCAGCCTCCAGGAAGCGGAGGCACATTCATAGCTGAATAAAACACTGACCTCTTTTTAAAGTGTTACCAAGACATTTGCATTTTAGCAGATTTAAACCTTGAGCTACAGAAATGAATTTGTAATGACGCAGTTTGTGTCATCAGCTGGTGGACTGGCAAAGTTTCACTTGGTGCCCCGAAATGAATCCCACTGAATGACTCTCACTGCTCAAGTCCTGCTTCTTCCCCAAATGCTCTTCCTCTTCCTACTTCCTGACTCAGCCCTCCTCCATGCACCTGGGCCCCACTCGTCTTCCATCTGCTTGGTTTCCTCCACGCTTACCACTTGACTGGTAAGCCAAGTGTTAAGGAGTTCTAGTCCCAAGTGCACACACAGGAAGAAATTATGCACTGCATCCAAAAGGGGGTGTGTGTTATTCCTGCAGAATGTGTCGCTTGTGCTTTGGGCCCAGGGTGGCATGTCCCCACTCCCTGAGATGTAATTTGTGCTCACCAGTGTCACAGGCTGGCCCATGCCGTGCCAAGAAAGTTTAGGTAAACAGAGGTAAGGAGGGAAATATGGAGATGGTTTGAGGCGGATGAAAATAAGAAGAAAGATTAATGGATGAGCGGGGGTCCATTTGGCCACAGTGATTCGATGCCATACTCACAGATGTCTACCAGGAGCAGTGTTTCCTAGAGGGTTCCTGTATTAGGGTTCTGTAAAGGGACATAACTAATATGATATATGGATATACGAAGGGGAGAATTGACTCACACGACCACAAGGTGAAGTCTCCCACAATAAACGGTCTGCAAGCTGAGGAACCAGGAAGCGTGTCCGAGTCCCCAAACCTCAAAAGTAGGGAAGCCAACAGTGCAGCCTTCAGTCCGTAGCCAAAGGTCCGAGAGCCCCTGACAAATCACTGGCATGAGTCCAAGTGTCCAAAGGCTGAAGAACTTGGAATCTGATGTTCAAGGGCAGGAAGCATCCAGCACAGGAGAAAGATGAAGGCCAGTCAGCTAATTCGACCTTCTTCTGCCTGCTTTATTCTAGCCAACCTGGCAGCTGATTAGATGGTGTCCACCCAGATTGAGGGTGGGTCTGCCTCTCCAGTCCACTGACTCAAATGTTAATCTCCTTTGGCAACACCCTCACAGACGCACCCAGGAACAGTACTTTGCATTACTCAATCTAATCAAGTCGACACTCA